GTGACTGGCCAGTGTCCATAGATTACTGCAGACTTGCATCTCTTGCCATCATTCCCTCCAGGCAAAATGAACAACTGGTTACACTGCTAAAATTCTGCCCATTGGGCAGAATTTCCTTTACCACTTTCCTCTCCTCTCCCCCAAAGTGAGGCTGTAGTGCAAAGCCATCTATTTTCAGGTAATTATAGGACATTGGGCAGAACTGGCTGTAAAAACAGGTTCCCATCTTTTTCTTCTTCAGTCAACTGGCTATGAGGCATTCTCCATAATGTTGTATATATAGATTGGGAAAAAAAAGGCAATGTGGAGAAATATGGACCATGGGCACCTGCAGTTTGAAGGCTTCAAGACCTACTTGAGTTTGGTCTTGTGCATAATCCTTTCATTTGATGATGGAATACATTAATGGGTTATAGGTTGGATGATGGCAAACTGGTGATGGATAGTTCAGATTTCATGGTTACTTGTCATCCATGGTTAGTAGTCTTCACTAAGGAAGCCAGAAGATATTTCTCAATGGAGGTTATTTCCCTGCAGAGGGTGGCATAGGTTCAATCCAAAAATCCTAGGGCTTTGTGCTGTCCACAGACCCAAACATACCACTCTCTGGCACAGACATTCCAGTTAGTGTGGGCCCACATGCCAAAAGCCTTTGCATGTTCTGGGTCTCTCTTCAGACTAGCAGTAAATATGTTAAAATAGTATGACCAATGAGGCATTGGTTGCCTCCAAAATCCTAAGTGGTTCTCTAGGCAGGGTGTGTCTTTCATGGGGGAAAAGACCAGTCAGATGTAGCAATTGCTCTTAAAAAAAAACTCTACAAAATAATACTAAAGTTTATTTAGAAAAATAGTGTGAAAATATCCATAAATGTCCTAAATAAAATTAATGAGGGGTGACTAATCTTAGCAGATATTAAAATATATTTTCAAACTATAATTATTAATTTACTTTGGTACTAGAGAAATGTTTGACAAATAAATTGCAAAGAACATACATGTGAAATAATATGAACATATAGCTGACATTAAAGATAGTTTTCAGTTATCAGGAGGAAAAGGAATTATTTAATACATAATATTGAGACAATTGTTTTGCTATTTGGAAAAAATAAATCTAGATCCCTTCATTAGTCCATTCACCAAAATAATGAAGGGTAAACATACTTATCAAAAGTAAAAAGATTACATGAAAAATATATTTTTACAGTAGACACTGGTATGCAGAGAACAAAATTCAGAAGTCACAAAGAAATGAACTGATAAATTTAGGTATCAAACTTTTGAGTAGAGCAAAAATTATAAAGAATTAATTTAAATGCCCCCGATAAAAGACAAATTATATAAATGAGACTATATATATATCAGAAGTAGCAATTACTCTTTGCCTTGGAATGGATATCTCACAATGTCACAGATCATTGACCCCTAGAAATGACATAGTCTCATTTGTCGATTTTTGTTTTTGTTGTCTATTCATTTGGGTATAAATATTTTTATTATTATGGTCCTCAAATCATTTGTCAATAATTGAGTTATTAACTAATTATAAGTGCAAAATCAAATTCATGGCATTTTGTAAAAACCATGGTTCACTAACAAGCAAGCAAAAAACCGAAAACATTGGCTCAATAATGTGTCAGTTTGTTTTGGATTTATAGAACACTTTAAACTCTTACTCCAAAAGGAAACTGACGTTCGTAGACCCTTAAAGGATTACATTGAAAAAACAAACTTTTTAGGCCATGTAGGCCATTCCCAAAACTAATTCCACTTGGATTGTAAATGTAGCCCAGATAAAAGAAGATGGCTCACCCTGTAGGAGTAGCAGTGGAATGGAGAAAAGCAGATAAATTATAGAGATATTTTGATAGTATGGTACAACCCAAAAAGACCTGCTGATGTTTTGGATGCAGCAGGAGAGAAATCAGTATGATTTCAAGATTTTTGGCCTGAGTGATTTTACCATCTACCAACACACAGGTGATTGAGAGAGGAGCAAAGTAGAGAGAGCAAGTTATTCAGGGTAGTATTTTGCTCTTGTCAGGGATCAGTTTCATGGCATCCTTTTGGGGACGTCCTGTTGATATTTGTGATAGATCTGAGCTCGATTAAAAAAAAAAAAGACAACATATTATTTCAAACTATTGTTATTCTCTCCATACAACGAGATGTAAAAGCTCAGCGATTTAGGGACTTCTCAAGCTCTTGAGGAAAGGACCGCCAACAAGGCGGATCTTTCCAAACGTTCCCATTCATCCTACAGCTCAGTGAACTTGAGGCTTCCGACATCCAATCAGCTTGCAGATCCCCTGCGTCAGCAAGTGGGCGGGGCTCAATGGGAATCAGATCGCTGCGCTTCTCTGGCTTGGCCACGTCTGAAGCCCCGCAGGTCCTGGAAGGTGCATACTTCCTTATTTATCCACTAAGAATAAACTGAGCTCTCTATTCAAATTTAAGTTTTAAAATACTAAAAAATACATTATTTTTAATCACATCATTTAGCCTTCGTAGTACTTCTTTCTTTTTTTTTTCAACGAGTGTAAACGCTACTTCCGAGCTTGGCGGACCTGCCGTTCCGTTCCTCACGCATGCGCAGGCTGTAGGGAGGGCGGTCTTGTTTCCGGGTGGCGTGTGGGGCGTGAGGCCCGTGAGCAGGCTGTGCCGACACCAACATGGAGAGTTTGTACCGAGTACCGTTCTTGGTGCTCGAATGTCCCAATCTGAAGCTGAAGAAGCCGCCCTGGGTGCACATGCCGTCGGCCATGACGGTGTACGCCCTGGTGGTGGTGTCCTATTTCCTCATCACCGGAGGTAACGGGCTGCCGGGGCGGGAGGGGCGCGGAGGCGCGGTGGGCTGACCGGCTCCGGGGCGCCTCGGTCCGGCTGTCTCAGCCCGGGAGAGCATCTCTTGCTCCCATCTTTGAAGGGGTAGAAGGGAGTTCTGGGGTCCCACATGTTAGTCCTCATGCGCTGACCTACGTCTCGGGAACACTCATGTTCTCGTTCTTTAGATTCTCATCCCAGAGATCCGAGTTGAATGTTTTTCAAACCCAGCTTGTTTCTCTTTTTGTTACTTATACATTGTTTGACAGAGGTCTTGGGAAAGGCATGTTAGATCCATGGTTGATAAAGAAGGTGTTGGACTTTAAACTTCTCTTTGTCCCTGTGCTTGGAGTCTGGAGACCTAAGGGTCTTGTGCCCGATCTACAGTAATAGGAATGGGATTTCCCGAAACTACGGTTTTGATCAAACGTTTGAGACTGCTGATGAGGTTTGCAGAAGGCATGGTACGTCAGAGGGCAGAGGCAGAGAAGGAAAAAGGCATTACTGTTGAACGCTTTTCAGTGATCTCTATCTTCCAATCCTTGCAAGTAGAAAGTTGCAGAGGGGCGTTGCCTTGCCTGCTGGTGAGCTGGCATCTCCCTGCAGTCTTAGGGCCACCACCCATCCTAGCTAGGATTCCAAGATTTACTCAGGACTGCTTTTATATTTTGGAAAGTGGCGTATTTAACTCGGAAATTATAAAACTAAAGCTCTCCAGATTAACAAAAGTGATTCAACTTTTACGGGAATAGCCATATTTTCGTCATTTGTGAGACTGAGTGGCACTGAAGAAGGAGACATATGAAACTGAGAGGGTTTAACTCTACATGGTATCTCTTAGTTTATCCTTCACCCTTGATCTAGAAGACTGGCAGTTAACTTAAGTTCTTCTAAATACGTTAACATTTTAAACATTCTTATGTTGGTAAGGTACTGTATAATATTGCATTAGCATGAATATCTGCTCCACACAGTAGTGGCAACTTTTGGGGGAGGGGGGAGCGCGGGTACTGGGATTTGAACGAAGGGCTGCATGCTTGCTAGGCAGCATGCTACCCCTTGAGCCACTCTGTCAGCCCTAGTAGCAACTATTGAATATATGTAATTTAATATGCATGTGGCTTTAAAAAGAAATCTTCAGAGTCTTCATCTGCCAGTCTCTTTCCTGTAACTCTTCCCTCAGTACCAGAGCTTTTGTTAGAAGGCTGCTGCATTCTGGCCACTTTTTCTGTGTTGATGGTTGTAATGGTGGAGATGTCTCTGCCCCAACACCAGGGGAAGTGGAAAGCACACCTTTTAGCGGTCAAGGCCATGAGATACCTTGTACAAGGAATCCTTTTGGCCACTGGAAAGGAGTCTTTCCCAAAAACTGTGAGTGTATGCTTGTAAATAAACAATTTATATGTTGATTAGGGCTCCTGCCCTCCGGAAGCTCATGATGTCATAGCTGAGACATGTTAAATATCATATTTTTTTTCTATTACAAATGTCACAAATGCAGTGAAGGAAAAGAATATGAAGTTATGTGAAAATAATGAGAGTGAGAGGATCACTTAGATTAGACTGTGGTTCCTAAGGAAATGTCATGTAAGCCCCAATCTGAAGGGTTGGAAGGGTCTGCTACGTAGAGGGAAAAGCATGGACAAAGATGGGCCAAGAGACAAGTACAGGTTTTGTAGTTTACTTACAGTGTACTAGGTTGGGTGGCAGTGGGGATGGAGGGTGATATATGGAATTGAAAGCCCTGAGAGTTGAATTAGGGAGAGAATATAGAAAAGTACATGGATCAAACTCCGACAGACTGACATTTAGTGGTTTTGTAGAAGAGGAGGCTCAGCTAGAGATGTTACAAGAAAATGGGGGCGAAGTGTCAACAAAAGCTGTAAATGAGGTTATTTTTCCAGAAAATGGGGAAATGGGGTTACTGGAATGAGGGCTGCTGGGGAGCCTCCTAATATGATAGCTGAAAAGTGTCCATTGAATGGAGGTCATTCGCAACCAAAGTGAGCACTGCCAATGGTGGCAGAAGGTGAATTGGAGTGAGTTGGTGGATGAAGGGCAAGTTTGTTTAATCCTTTCCAGAAAGAAGTCTGACTCCCTTTAAAAAAAGAAGGCTTGAAATAGGATGTTAGGAGGGTCTCAACTCAAGGGAGGGTTGATGTAGGGAAAAGAGAGATCCAGAGGAATGAAGTCTCTGAGAAGGCTAGAAGGAATGGAGTCGATTATTTCAGAAGGGATCCCTCATTGATCAGAGGGACTCAGTATGGCTGGAACGAAGATGGGGAGGGTAAATGCAGGTTTTGTAGAATTGGGAGAAGGTTAGGGAATTCCTCATTTATTTTTGTCAGGCTGGGGTGAGAGAGACAGGCCTACTATGCTTAAGAAAAGCTGGTGATGAAGATGTTTAAGAACAGTGGAGAAGGTAGAGTAGATGTTGACAGTAGAAGTTGGGAACATGTTGGTGTTGATAGATGTTAATATTAACGATCATGGTGACCCTGTGACACAATCACGGGCATTACCATTAATGATGGTATCTCTAGTACTTCCAGTCACCAGGTGTTGTGTTTTAAAAATGTTTTACATTTAAGCAAGAAAGTTTTTTTAGCTGCCTCTTAATTTACAGAAACAAATGCAAGGCTATGTGGAACATTTTTGTGAACTAAAATAGAGCCAGCCTTTAATGTTAAATCTCTTAATGTGGGGTCATTCTTCAGTATTAGCAAGCATTATTGAATAAATTTCCTTTATAAAATTGATACCTCTTTTAGGGATCATATTGTCCCAGAAGTCATTCTGAAACATTGAGTTGAATGTCTGAGTGGTTTATGGAAAGCTTAGGATTTGTTAGGCCTCACTTGATTACAATAAGACAATCAAAGTTGTCCTATTTAAGTGTAAGTGAACCTGTAGAGACAGTGAAAACTAATCCTGTTTTTAGAAATGCAATCTAATCTGTATTGTTGTCTTCCATTTAGGAATAATTTATGATGTTATTGTTGAACCGCCAAGTGTTGGCTCTATGACTGACGAACATGGGCATCAGAGGCCAGTAGCTTTCTTGGCCTACAGGTAAAGATACTTTTTGAATGACTTGGTGGTGGGAAAGAAGGTTGTTAAGGCAAGCCTGTGATTCCAGCACTTGGGAGGTGGAGGCAAGAGGATGGCAGGTTTGAGGCTGGCCTGGGCTACATAGTGAGTTCAATGTTAGCTTGGACTACATGGCAAGACCCTGTCTCAACAAAAAAAACAAAAGAAAGCAGTGGAATTTGTGTGGTTATCTGCGGTTATACAGTACTTGGTTTAAAACATGGAATTCTGAAGTGGCAGAAGGTGGAGCAAGAGCAAGAATAAAAGTATATTAGTAATTTATTAGAAAATAAAGTAATTCAGGCCGGGCACTGTGTCTCCCACCTACACTACCAGCTAGTAGGCAGGCAGAGATCAGGAGGATCTCAGATCTCTGGTCAAGGCCACGCTGGACCACAAAAAACAAGAGCCCACCTCCAAACACAAGATAGACATGGTGGTGCGTGCTTGTAATCCTAGCTATGTGGAAGCACAGGTAGGAGGATTGTGGTCTAATGCCAGAACCTAGTTGAAAAATAACTATAGCAAAAAAAAAAAAAAAAATTGGGAGTGTGGTTCAAGTGGTAGAATGCTTGTCTAATAAGCACAAGGTAAGTTAAAACCTATTTCACAGTGATTGATGTATCACCAGTTCACAGTAAGTTTTAGACTATTTTGGGGTTCAGCAAACTAGCCATTTTGTTTTCTTTTTTTGCAAATAAATATCTGCTGGAACTAGTTGTGTCCCTTTATATGCTAACTGGCTGCTGTCCACCTGTAGTAGGTGAGTTGAGTAAGTAACAAACCATATGGCCCACAAGCAGAAGTTATTATTTACTTTTTTAAAATTATGTATTTATTTATTTAGGTGCTGGAGATTGAAGCTGGGGCCTCTCATATTCTAGGCAGATGCTCTACCACTGAACCATACTCCTAGCCCTTTAAGATGTTTATAATATGGCATTTAAGAAAAAAATTGTGGGTCCCTAGACTATTCCATTAAATAAAAAAATTATTTTTTGAGACCTTAAATGGTTCCATTTCCACATTGAAACAGCATTCCAGTGAGTTCAGGTCACCTGAGCAGTGTTTATCCTACTGCTTTCCATCATTCACTTGATAAGCATCTCCCCAAGCATAGCTATATGTTTATATTTACACTATGCCCTTGATGCAGAGAATTTTCTGAACAGATTTATTGTGATTCTTTGGGGGAGGAGCTTCCTGAGGGGGGATCTTTATGACAGGGAGCCCTTTGAACCTGGCTTATTTACTGTGTTTTCAGTGAAAGCAATTAGTTAATGGAAAATATATCCTATATCCTCTTTATAATGCCTATTTTTAACCATCTCTTAAATAGAGAAATTTGCTTTTTGAGGTTCCTGAACTCTGAGAATTCAAAACTGTATAGTCCTAGAAAAATCAGATTCGTATTTATGCATAAATTTGCATATAATGTAAAGGCTTATAATTTTGCTAGAGACTTTGTAGGGATCATGGGGCTTTAGTTAAGAACACTTGCTTTACAGTTATTTCCCTTTGAAACAAGATTTATTAATCATTATGATAAGACTTCAAGAAGCATCTCTAACCAGTTTAAAAGTAACTCAAGAATGGTAGTAGAAATTTAAATAGCATAACTTCTAAAAGCTAAGCAAAAATTTTGTATAACAGGTTCATACACATAAGATGATCGACTTTGTCAGTACTGGGATTTGAACACAGGGTCTTGCACTTGTTAGGTAGACACTCTACCACTTTACCCATACTGCTAGACCTTTTTGCTTTGGTCTTTTTGAGATAGGTTTTCACATTTATACCTGGATCTGCCTGGAACCATTATTCTTCTGTTTACCCACTTTTAAGCTAATAATTAAAAATTAGTATTAATCTTATTTAGACAGTTTGCTTGGTTGATATTTTAAGACTTTCTTTTTAAAATAGGCTACATAAAGATGGATTTTTTTTCTTGCTTTGGGGGTGGCAGATGCAGCTAGGCAAAGTTTTTGTCTGGTTTTGTTCACTGTTTCATACCTAGAACCTGGAATAGTGGTTGATATATAATGCATCTCTCAGTAAGTTTTGTTCAGTGAATAAGCAGATGAATATCCAGAGATGTAATAAAAGGTTATAAGGGTAAGAATAAAAGATTAGCACAGAAATGTTTCACCGTAAAGGGGAAATTTTCCTTTTTAAAAATGTTCATTTGTGTTGGCATGGTCTTTCTTTTCTTTTCCAGAGTAAATGGACAGTACATTATGGAAGGACTTGCATCCAGCTTCCTGTTTACAATGGGAGGTTTAGGATTCATAATCCTGGACCGATCCAATGCACCAAATATTCCAAAACTCAATAGATTTCTTCTTCTATTCATTGGATTTGTCTGTGTACTGTTGAGTTTTTTCATGGCTAGAGTATTCATGAGAATGAAACTGCCGTAAGTCAAATACTTTGTATAATAAGTAATTAAACTCTTGTTAGAAGTTGGTAAAATAATTACTTGGACAACATAAAATCATAGATTAAATTTAATGCTCATTGAAACAGATGAAAAAGTTTAAGAATCAAAGAAATTTATGATTTGCCATAGATTACTATAGTTAGTAACAAAATTGAGACCAATAAGTCTTCTTGGCTTTTATCCCTGTGAATATTCATGAGAAAATTTACTTTGCCTCAGCATCACTGACAAGAGATAGTTATTTTTCCTGTGAAATGCCTTTTGGATAATCTATAAAATAAGATTACAAAATTAATAGTAAGGAAGATTTGCAAGCCATTACTTGGTATTGCTCTTTCAATGTTGGTATGGGTTGTGTATCCCTGACCCAAAATTCAAAATCCAGAACTTTTTGATCACCAACATTTGGAAATTCCACACTGTGAGTCTTTATTTCATACACAGAATTATTATGACTGCTAGGTTTTGCTTGTAAGGTATATATAAAAGAATGAATTTGTGTTTAGACTTTGGTCCCATCCCTAAGATAGTTCATTATGTGTATGCAAATAATAAAAAAATATGAAATCTTAAACACTTCTGGTCCCAAGCTTTTTGGATAAAGATATTCAACCTGTATGAAGAAAACCCATTAAGTCCTGAATGGGAAATAAATTACTGCCCCATTAAAAGTTGGGGAAAGGATTAGATTTTATGTAGAACATTTATTTGAAAGATTATTTTAACTTAGAAAAATTTAAATATCTTTTTGTTTTGGTGGTACTAGGATTTGAACTAGGCCTTGTGTTTGCTAGACATGTGTAGTACCCCTTGAGCCATGCCCCCAGTCCAGAAAAATTAAAGTATCTTTAAAAGAAAAATAAATTGGTTTTGTAGAAACATATAATTCCATTTGAGGTCACTAATTAGAAATGTGGGCAAGTCTGATTACATTTTCATGTGTTGATTTCACCTATGGATCCATTATTAACTACAAGAACTTTGGGCAAGCAGAACAGAAAGATGAAGTCTTAGTATTTTTTTTTTTTTTTTAGGGACTGTTAAACATACAATGTCAACTACTGATTTTATAGTGTGTTTGAGTTTTCTAAGTTTGTTTGTCTTGTAGCTTAACCTGTCCATTGTCTGTAACATATCTGGAGTAGTATGGGCAGGCTTTTCTTAGAAATCAGAACTACTTATCCTATAGACATATATATTCCCAACTTAGCCCTGCAGGGAAGAGCACACATGATTCTTTGTCAGCTGAATATTTGTGTGGTCCTGTGACCCCTTCATGCTCCTCTGCCAGTGGCTCTTATTTTTGGCCAGGGAAACAATTCTGACCTGGCTAACTGTATGAAGACTTTTTTGTTCCTTTCTTCTGTCCCTATTGGAAATAATTCTCCATAGCCTGGTAAATTACATTGGTAGGAAGAGACTAGGATTTCCCATAGCAGAGCAGGAAACCTAGAGGCCCCCAAAGAAAATAAAGAGGCTACTGAGAATTAACAACAGAAACTGACTAAACCTTTGGAAGCATGTAGCAAGCAGAAGGGAGCTGGTTTTGCCTTTTGTTCTCAAACAAACATGATAAACAAACATGTTAAAACAGTGAGTAGAAGACTTAGGTACAAGTTTGTAATTGGTTTATCTGAAAAATAATGGTCATTAGTCTGTCTTTAGCTTCCACTATTAAGACAGTTTTTTTTTATCAGTCCACTATTGTTTATTGCTGACCTGTGACAGTATAAGTACAGAAATTGACAGTAAGCATTTAGAAATTTTTATGACAATTTACAATGTCATTCATTGTACAATTAGTGATTTTTTTTAAGTTGCCATGTATTTTTTTACCTTTTTTAAAAAATTTTTTTATTGTTTTATTATTCATATGTGCATACAATGCTTGGGTCATTTCTCCCCCCTGCCCCCACCCCCTCCCTTACCACCAACTCTATTCCCTCCCTCTCTCCCCCACCCCCTCAATACCTGGCAGAAACTATTTTGCCCTTATCTCTAATTTTGTTGAAGAGAGTTAAGACAGTTTTGAGCTAAAAGTAGAATCCTAAATTTTTTTTAAGTTTTATCTATTTTTGCAGTACTGGGGATTGAACCCTGGGTCACATGCATCCCAAGCAAGTGCTCTGCACTGAGCTACACCTCCAGCCCCAAATCTTTTTTGTTCTTGATGGTACTAAGGCTTGAATTTTGGGCTTCATGCTTGCTAGGGCTCTGATGATGGAGCCATGCCTCCAGCCCTCAGCTGGAATCTTACAAATAAAAAAGTATCTTGATGTGTTACAGTGTGATGGCCTAAAATGAGGCTGGGTGTTTGGTTGAAAGTAGTTATAGTTCCTAAATTTACTCAAGTCTGTTACAAAGCTGTATATAAAACTACTCTTAAGTAGCTACTGTAACTGAGAACAAAAGACCTACTTTATTCAGATTGGCAAAATATTTGGACTAGTGTCTATTCAGCCTGATGAGAAAAGCTGGGAGCTCCTGAGTAAATCCTAAGTCATGGGATCAATTTAAGAGAATAGATGCAGTCTTCAAGGGAGGAGAGAAATGAAACATAAATTAAAATGTAGTAATACTTAAATCAACATTATTTGGGGGATTATATGATACATACATGATTTTCCCACATAATTTAAAGTTTAATACATTTAGAATGTATTAAAACATTTTCTTTCCAAAGTGTTAATGTTTTATTGCCACCTGAACATTCATATTTATATTTGGGAAATATTTATCATTTATACCTTTTCTTTTTCTGTTTTTGAGCCACAGTCTTGTTTTGTTGTTCAAGAACTCCTTGGCTCAAGTGACGCTCTTGCCTCAGCCTCCTAAGTAGCTAGGACTGTAAGAGTATGCTGCCTGTTATTTGCTAGGTACTACAAGCATAATTGTACTTTCTTGCTTGAGGGTCATTTTACATTTATAATTGCATCTGGTAATACTTTTCAGTTTTTTTAGTGTAATTTATCACTTTGTTATCAGTGTATACCTGATACACCTATTTTAATTTTATCCTTTCCTCCTCCTCAGATAACTGATTATTCTGTAATTTGAGGAAATACACAATACTATTTGATTGCCTTTTTAAGTAAAATTTTAAAGTTTAAGGAAGCAGAGTAATTGTACATACTTATGGGGTACAGGGTGACATTTCAATATATGTATGCAGTGTGTAATTGTCAGACTAGAGTAACTGGCATAACTGTGAGCCTAGGCCATATATTATTTCTTCATGCTGGGAATATTCCAAATCCTCTCTACCAGTTGTTTTGAACTATTCAATGAATTGTTGTCACCCATAGTTACCCTGCTGTGCAGTGGAGCTTAGAAGTTATTCTCCTATCAACTGTACTCTCATACCCACTGAACATTCTCTCTCTATCCCTGCCTTTCCCAGGCCCTTTGGGCTGCCTTTCATGTCAGTCCTGGACTAAGAAAAGCTTAATGAGCTAATTTTGTAACCATCCTTTCAGATGTTTGAGAGCCTCTTTCATTTGCTTCCAGAATTAGAGCTATATTCCAGAAAATTAAGGATAGAGAGTCTGTCAGATGAGTTGTCTCAGTGAGTAAAATCTTGTATCCGAGGTTCATCTTTAGCAAATGAGAGAGAAAACTAATGAAACAAAACATTTGCACAGCTGCTGAGGACAATAGGTAATAGAGAAAGTGAGTAGAGAATTTTTGGGCTTGCCATTTATTAGCTCTGAGACATTGGATTAGTTCTGTGAACTCTTAGTCTCAGGTTCCAAATCTGTTAAATGAATTTAGTAATGTACCCATAAAGTTATTGTCAAGATTAAATGAAAAGTTTTTTATGTGCTATCAAGCATAATATTAATGTTTTTATTATAAAGATAAACAGAATCCTAAAAATTCTGTGTTTCAAATTGGATTTTTCAAAACAGAAAAAAAGTGAGATTTCTGTTTCTAGAATTATTGGAGAAGATAGGAAAGTAGGAAGATAGCAGAACAGTTATGAGGAGACATGTTTTATGTATCTTTTTTTTTAGTGCTGGGGATTGAACTCAGGGCCTTACTCATTCCTGGCAGTCACTTTACCATTGAGCTACAGCTTCAGCCCTCATACCCACCTTTTTAGGATTGTTGCAAGGATTAAATATAATAATGCCTGTCATGCTATTTTTTTTTTTCATTTTTCTTTTATTGTTCATATGTGCATACAAGGCTTGGTTCATTTCTCCCCCTGCCCCACCCCTCCTTACCACCACTCCCCCCTCCCTCTCCCTCCCCAATACCCAGCAGAAACTATTTTGCCCTATTTCTAATTTTGTTGTAGAGAGAGTATAAGCAATAATAGGAAGGAACAAGGGTTTTTGCTGGTTGAGATAAGGAAAGCTATACAGGGCATTGACTCACATTGATTTCCTGTGCGTGGGTGTTACCTTCTAGGTTAATCTTTTTGATCTAACCTTTTCTCTAGTACCTGTTCCCCTTTTCCTATTGGCCTCAGTTGCTTTAAGGTATCTGCTTTAGTTTCTCTGCGTTAAGGGCAACAAATGCTAGCTAGTTTTTTAGGTGTCTTACCTATCCTCACCCCTCCTTTGTGTGCTCTCGCTTTTATCATGTGCTCATAGTCCAATCCCCTTGTTGTGTTTGCCCTTGATCTAATGTCCACATATGAGGGAGAACATATGATTTTTGGTCTTTTGAGCCAGGCTAACCTCACTCAGAATGATGTTCTCCAATTCCATCCATTTACCAGCGAATGATAACATTTCGTTCTTCTTCATGGCTGCATAAAATTCCATTGTGTATAGATACCACATTTTCTTAATCCATTCGTCAGTGCTGGGGCATCTTGGCTGTTTCCATAACTTGGCTATTGTGAATAGTGCCGCAATAAACATGGATGTGCAGGTGCCTCTGGAGTAACAGTCTTTTGGGTATATCCCCAAGAGTGGTATTGCTGGATCAAATGGTAGATCGATGTCCAGCTTTTTAAGTAGCCTCCA